TGCGGAGGGGCTTTAAGGGGGAGCAGGAGGGGTCAGAGTGGCATATCGAAGAGCTGGATGCTGGAGAACGGGTGTAGTGGTGGGAGGGAGGAGGAGGGGGGGTTCCTAAACCGCAACCTTCTCGCACTCACTGCCGTCTGGCCACGTCGCGTGCCAGGACAAGACCCTTGATTTGTTGGGTAAATATTATGAAGCGGGAATCAATAGGCCACCAGTCTCGCCTCCAAATTTGAGGCGCCGGGCAGCCGAGCAGCAGCCGCCGCCGCCGCCGCCGCCCGCGGCAGCGTCGTGCGTGCGCGTTGGCGTGGCCGGCACCAAGAAACTTTCCTCTGCCCACACAAATGGATGCGGGTGGGGGGGGGGGGGGGGGGGGCGGGGGGGGGGGGGCTGTGGGGGGCCTCCCCATTTCAGCGCAACGTTTCGAGCCGATCGGCGCGGGTCGGAACTTTGTTTTTTGCCTTTCCCTCTCCACTCTCCCCTTTTGCGCCTGAATGAGCGCAAACATTTGTGCAATGGGCCTGCAGTAATTTCCAAGCTCTGCTTCAGGTTCTGTTTTACTTAGATGTCAGATCGACGCAGATAAATAAACCTGCTATATATATTTAAAAAAATGTTTTGTTTAAACAACAACAAAAAAACGCGCCAAAAAAATATTGGGGGTTGGGGAAGGAAAAACTAAAAACAAGAGGGGGGGGGAACACAAATCGAGCTAGATTGCCATCGTAATTTGTATGCTTTTATAAAGATTTTCGGCGTCGGTGCTTTTTTTTAAATTTCAGGACAAAAAAAATAAAACGTTAGTGATTTTTTTTTAAGGTCCAATTGTTTTCTCTCCATCACGCACAGTGCAGTTATCGTGGTGGATATAGGTGGAGGTGAAGCCCTGAAATTATTTTCTCGAGCTGCTGCGGGTGGTGGTGGTGGTGGTGGTGGTGGGGCTTCCACTAGAGGGAGCGATAGCGTGCCCCTCTAAACTCTAAAGAGTCAGACACATACAGAATATGAAATGAAAATAATTTCTCACGAATGTCCTAAAGTTTTACAAGGGAATATAGTAAGGCGGTCAGGTTCCTTCAGATACAGATTTTTGGCATAAAAAATGCCTTTGTACCTTTTAAAACATCAAAACCCTGCCTACACCTTATCATTGATATTTGGGTAAAAGCCAAATAGTGCACGGGGTGAAGTTCTTACAGCTTTATCACTCGATTTATTTGTTTAAGTTTGAAAACGTGTGCGAATGTACCTGAAGTGCAATCAGTGCTCCGTTTCTCAATGTTATTGGCCAATGCTTAATATGTGTACACAAACCACAGCCATGCACTTTGAAGGGGTGGACTGTTTACACAGTAATCACATCAAATATCATGGAGTAAGAATGTAAACTAAGAGAATTGCATCATTAATCATTCCCTTTGGAGATTAAATAGAAACACACGCGCGTGCACACCGCACACACGCGCACTCTTGGCCACTTAATATTAATCGCGCATGTAAAACTTCAATGGGACATTAAGCGGGAAGGTTACTGGCACAGAATGTTGTGGTCATTCCACATTCTAACATATGACTGCTTCTGGGATCTGGCTGGCTGTGGAAGGGCATGTCTGCAATCTAGCGTCTTGTTAGAGGTGGCGAGTTTGGAGGATCACACAGGGAGTGTGACAATTATGTGTGAAACATTCGCACAGATCGGTTGGCAGGTTTCCCACCACATCGGTGTGTAGTTTTCTCCACGCATTCTGATTTTTTTCCCCACAAGAAAACAAAAAAACTAAACACAAAAAAGGAATTGGCCAAACATCCCCCGCAGGTCCATATTGAAAAAAAAAATCTTGGAACACTGAAATTTTTCCTGAGCAAGCAAATAAATTGAAATTAATATATGTTGATTCTGTTTCTCTGCATTTTGCCCTATACTGGGCTCATGGTGTGAAAGTTACTGTAATGTGTGTGTGGGTGGGTGGACCCACCACCACAGAGGGTGTCTTTATACAGTCTGACACGACATGACATATTAATAAAGTAATTCATTGTAACAACACAACTCGCCTCTAAAATAAGAACAAGTTATTACTCTACTTACTTGAATTATATTATTAGTTCATGGATTAAATAAATCAATGCACTGTTAAACTGAAAGTTCAGACTTTTTAAAGCGGTGCACGAGAAATGAAAATAATAATAAATGTGGAGAAAATTCTTCTGAAATATTTAAAAAGCTTTTAAGTCTAGCAAGGCAGAAACATTGCTGCCTAGATGTCAAAAACTATGCAAATACATCAAATAGGACATGAAATACAAAGTATATGTTTAAATGTTATTGCTTTGTGGATAAACATACCAGTGGTGTTTTTGTAGTGGCTTGAAAGTGTTCGCATTTAAATCGGTTTTGTGCGATTGTCAGGCGTTTGTGAGGCTATTTAATTACTGAGGCCTAGTCTAGGCCTCGCCTATCCGTGTAGATGTGTCATTTTCTCAAATGTGATGCTCAATATTATCTAAAAGCAAAGCAGATAAAGGATGTATAATTTAATTTTATTCTCAGTGAATGTATTCGCTTATCGTGAAATACACAAATGCACAAAGTTTTACTTTGGACTAGATGCCATGGTATGGATTCCCTCTGAAATTATTGTTTGAAACCAAACTGAAACGAGTTCAGGATTGATGTTTTTTTTCTGCACATTTCAAGAAAAAAAACGTATCTGATTGAAAAATACTAAACCTTGTTACTTTCACCGCCTCAGCCCAAAATGCCAACTTGGGTAACCTTTCAAAATAATGGGTGTGCTTCAAAAATATGGGCAACCATTCTGGACAGTTTTTTTTTCTCCAAAAGATGAATTACAATTTCTTTCCATTGCTTTTAATAGGTGTGTTGTACGTGCAAGGGGACATTCTAACTGTTATGAGCGAAGGATATAAAAATTTGCACAAATGCACATTTACCAATTTCTTTTTCGATAATATTACCTCTTGGAGGAATAACAAATGATCACTGTCTGATTCATAGTTGACATGAAATGCCCTGGGACATCTTGATTCACAAGGGTAGACTTACAAACGAACCTGAAACTAAATGGTATTAAGGAATACATTAATAAATGCGCAACTCGAATCGCGCAGGCTTACATGCACAAACAGATAATGCATCTAAACGGATTATCTCACCTGCATCGATAAAGGATTATCAACATAATACAGCAGTCACCTTTTATAGAAAGAAATACAGTATGAGTGCACGGCAATCATATTTTTACCTTCAATGTGCAGAAAATGTTCACGTAAATTAGAACTTTGGTTGTAATTGAACTTCCCGTGGAATTACAATTGAATGGGGGAAACAGCCAACGGCGTTCAACCATAGTGGCGAAATGTTAACTACCTCGCCTGATATGCAGGAGGGCGTCGGTTCGATCCCGACCCTGACGCCTGTATATTTGGATTTTGCGTGTTCTCCCCGTGGTCGTGTGGATTTTTGTCCGGTTTTTCCCTCCACATTTAGAATCAACGTGCGTTTAAGAGTATGTGGCTGATATAAATGTCCACAGGATAAGCCACTTCGTTCAGCTATCATTTGTGGCCAGGTCATTTCCGAGAAAGAGCTACATAGCCTTGCTCTTGATTTCTGCATAAGCGTTAAAATCCAAGTTAGGAAGACCAAATAATAAACAGAATTTTAAAAAGACCAGTGGCTGCCAACTTGTTTCTTATCGTGTAGCCCCTACCAGACCCCTATCAACTGTGTAGGTTTAACATTAAATTACTTGAATAACCTCTACATTTTACTCACATTTAAATGCAATTACCGTAATAACTATACATCTTAAATTAAAGAATTACATTTTAATAATACTTAGAAGAACAAAAACCACTGGTACAGTTTATATTTATCTCAGTCACTTATCATGACCATTCACCAGAAGGGATCGCCGAGTGTGGAAGGGTGAAGATATTTTCTCATGGGAATTAAGAATTCCTTCTGTTTCTTTGTAAACTGAGATTTAAAAAAAATTAGAGCGAGAACGTTCGCGCAACATGTGGATGGTTGAGGCGGACAAGTGCCCGCGTTCATTGAATTCTATAAAACGGATAAGTATAACGATTTAGAATTGTTACTCTACACACAATGCAGCAACGCTTCGTATTCCTCAGAATTGCCAAGGTTTCAACAATAAAAACACCACCACCATCACCACAAGGCAACAAACCATTTCCAGATGAAGATAAAGCATCTCCATGTCTAAGGGAGAATGCCTATTGGTGGTCCTGAGTCAGTGGAAAAACATTTTTTAACATTCCCATGGCAGGAAAAAGGATCGCCAAATAGCGACAAATGTTACATTTCTAGAAAGTGGTCCTTATTTCATCCATCCCAGAGGTATGATGGCTGAATTAAACTTACAACCCTTTGCTTTTGAATTGAGCACGCTGTCATATCTCCACCAAGCTGGATTAAAATACAGTATTCATAAATGGAAGTATATTATTTTTTTGACAAGGGAAAGCTACCACGGTGTAATGGCTACCACACTGGACTTGCAATCCAGCGGTCGCCGATGCGAGCTCTCCCGGAGTGAGCAGCTGAGACAACGGTACAGGTTCCTTGAATCCCACCGCCTCCATCCACGCAGAGCGGTGTACATGAGCATAGCACTGTTTGTCCCTCGGAAGGCTGCGTGTGCGGTGGTGGAGTGTAGGTGCCCCCATCTCTTCCAAGACGTCTGGCTACCATGGAGGAATACAATCCACACCACCCTCTAGAAAGGCTCGATCGTGGCCCCCTCTCGCCAAGACTTTTTTTGCCAGCGGTGGAGTGAACAAGAAATCGCGGGGCTGTGCCTTGAGCTGTATCCATTTCGATACGCAGATGGTTGATCACAGTGGAAGGTGGGAGAGCTCTATCCTTTCCCCTGACTGAGACTGATTTGATTGTCTATGCATGCAGGCCCCTCAGGAGGCGAAACGTGCACGTGACCTCCGCAAGGCCTGCTCACCTCCAAAATCCCACTGCTGCCGGGCATTCTTGACCAGCTTCAAGAGGTGTTCCAGAGCCTCCGTCCGATGTCCGGTGTCCCGGACCTCCCGCCCATCGCACTGCCGCCAGTCTGTGTGTATGTGTGTGCGCGCGTGTGTGGGGAGCGATAGTGTAGCGGTTAGCACTACGCTGCGCTATGAACCTGGCGACCCTGGTTCGATTCCCGCTCACGGCCAACACCGGTGACGATTATCTGAACCGGTCCCGGGCCTCCCCTAGGTCGACTCAGCCTCAAATGAGTACCTGGTGCGGTGTGTAAACATTGCCACTAGGGAGACAAAGGCGGTCGGGCGTGGTGCTGGCCACCCACCCCCTCGTGTACCGTTCCGGCCTTCATAAGTGCTCGCTAACAGCACTTGCCCCTACAGTCTGTTAAGGCTATATGGGGGATCTTTGTTCTTTGTTGTTGTGTGTGGGGTGGGCCCAGCGTACCGTAGTTAAAAATGCAGCCTTCAGCAATAAAACTAGAAAGCATGTAATGATCTGTTGATTCGTCAATTGATATCTATTATTTTGCTCATATGTATGTAGGTTGAACTTCTTTTGCACCGTACATAGCCAACCGTGCTAAACAGAGGTGTGGGGGAAGGACAACAAACTAAACACCAACAGCAGTTCGAAAAAAATAAGTTTTCAATCTAGATTTAAAAGTGCATAGCTCCAGTGGCTTTCTAACATCGGAAGGAAGAGCGTTCCAGACGGCCGCATAAGTGAATCTGAAAGCGCACTATGCAGTGAACGTCTTTGTTCGATACTTACACATCATATACAAGTGTTACATTTACACCGATTGAGCGGACAAAAGTCTAAGGTAGAAAAAAATGAGAAATAAGTATAAATTAGATGGCAAAATTAGGCAATCCAATTAAGTGAGTCTTTCATTGAATCGTAATATATCAAATCGCTGGAGGGATTCATTGTTTCATGCCTTCAGACTAGTAATAACAATTTTAGATGGTGATACCCAAGCAAGCACATGGATTAACTCAAATGTCAAATATCAGAACAATACGGAAAAAAAAAACCCGACATAATATGCCAGCGTGTAACAGATAACATTTCAAATTTACACGTGGTTTTCCTGTGAACACCGAAAACCTCCCAACAGATTATAGCAGAAACACTATACAGTCACAGAACACATTCGTAATTTTAGACTTACAATTTCATTCAAGTTCTGAGCTCTAACAGTTTTTTTTTTTAAATAAGGGATAATGTATATTTCTAGGCGTCTTGGGTTGTAATAATATGACAAAGGTGCAGCACTGCAGATACTTGCTCATGTCAATGTCGTTGAAAGGGCCATCCATGAGCGGTAGCTCCAAAATGCCTCCTCTGAAGAGGATATTTTGGCCTACTCTTCTACGCTGGTCAGACGTTATGGAAGAGGTGGGAATACCCACACATTGCCCCACCACACGTGGCATGCTGATACAATTTATGCTGCTGCGTGGATAAAGGCGATTGGGCGATGGGGAAGGATTTAAGAAACGTGTCCACCGTTTCAACTGCCGCGCCTGGAGGCTTCTGGTTGAAAAAATTGATACTCCGACCGATGCTTCTTTTGTTGTGGAGTAACTCATGCAGCCAGCTATGGCTCTAGGATTTGGTGTTACATGTTATTTATGTAGTTTATTGTAAAAATTCGGTCACAGTCCTTGTGATCACTGTTACGTTGCAATTATGGCTTTATTTTTTGGTGATTTGGAAAACGTTTTTTGGTTTGGACATGTTTGTTTTGTTGTAGTACGGAGCTAGACTGATGGCCTTAATCTAAGTTTATGTGGTTGTTGTTTGACTTGCAACTCACTGGGATTTTTTGCACACAGCGTTGGTGTACGGGGCTTTTTTCAGGAATATTTTTGCTGTTTTTTTTTCCATGGATTTTCTGTTTGCACAGTCACAGAGTCACTTTAAGATGTTTGTCCTGTTCGTGTTTTGTTTGTTTGTTGTGGTTGCACCCGATTCAAGAGCCGAATGGCTCACAGGGCTATACCAAAATAAACTGGAACTGAAACTGGTTTGCGAGTCACAGCCTGCTCACATTTACACCACGGCGAACATCCCTTGGGCAGCGAGAGTAGCGTGAATATAATGCCATGAATGTTATTAAATGCCTTCACCGTGGCTAGTGCACAGCAAATGAAGTGTGGTCATGAGCAATGCTGCAGGGAATTGTTGCATCACAGGGGTTCCCACTAATGTGTGCCTGTTTAATATAGCTGTGGAACTCATCAGAAAAGTTGCGCATACTAGATGTGGCCTAAAGGAATTCGAAATAGGATACTAAAAGTGCACACAGAAGAGTGATTCTTCCTTCATATGGCAACCGTAAACAACAAAGCAATTAATGTATTATGTTGCATGATTAATGCATAACAGGGGGGCTTCTAAATAAACCTAACATTAGGTTGGTGTGGAGTTACTGAAAGTGTTACTGTCCTCCGGCTGTACGCTGCAAGAAGAGAATGCCGTAACATTGATAATGTTGCTGGTTGTTGCCACCTTACCCGATGGGATCGCAAAGACAGGAAGTGAAGTCTGTGTGGGACCCCATCCTTTCATGTTGTAAGCCATCACGCGCACGTAATATTCACAGCCCTGAACAAGAGAAAACGCGCAAATGTAATATTTTGATTCAATTATATCTATGTGTGTGTATATATAGTATGTGTCGTACCATCGATGTGTATTTAATATAAATAAAAAAAACTAATTTCAACTTAATATTAGACTATGGCTCTTATAAAAATAAATAACATCTACTTGTGTAATTATTGACAAACATAAATCGTTACGTGAAATTCGCCTGAGAAAATTACGAGCCATTAAACGTTCCTCATTAAATGGCGTGAATCGCATGCTTCAAGCGAGCACAATGAAACACACTGCACCGCCTCAACGTATAGGAACATAAACACCTTAAGCCTAGAGAAGGACCAAATTAACATTTAAAAAAATGTTGGCGTGGCGGCCTTTAGCCTCTGAGCAAAAATGTGGGCGGCTGCGGGACACTACGAGGCTGTGTACGGTGCTCAGTGGCCACACCGTTAGCGTGTGACAAGCAAATCATTTTCTTTGAGCGAGGAACGCTCCCAACAAAAGAGGCTTTCAGGGGCGCTTTCCTTTCCGTTTGTCGGGTGTCTCGCCTGCCCGACGCTGCTGCCGCAGGGCTTCTCTATAGGCTGCGTCGGCCAAGGTAAAAAAAAAAACGGGTGCGCTGAGGCCATTTGCGTAACGAGAGGTGACAAACGCGGCGCAGACACATTCGGCGCAACGTGGGAGCAACAACGCTCGCGGGATTTAGAACATACTTGACGGGACGGATTAAAGGAATGCGTGGATGAGAAAACGTGCTCGGATTAAAGACAGAGCTCGCAGCCGTAGTAGGCATGGGCTGGGAGTATCGCTCCAGGGAACGATGGACGATGGTCAAGAACAACGATGAAGCGGCAGCCAAAGGATGGAACACATTCAACAGGATGCCCAGGATGCAACGGAATCAGCTCATGTGTGGGCACTCGGCGCATCACTACAATGCAGGGTCCTGAGCAACTGGTGCAGCTTGGAGAGGCACTTGTGTCCACCAGTTCAATGATCGTGGCTGATAATGGCGAAAATGCTGGCCCATTGAATAAATGCTGGGATTAGTAACCAATGATGATTGTTGTGTTCATGGTGAAAGAGCTGCTACTGCTGATAACTATGTTCTGAAAACAAAGGGAAATTCACTGACGTGTCATTGAAGGGTGAAGGTGTGATGCAAGAGATATCAGCGCAGCCAGAACAAGAGGTTGTATACTGTATCACTGCAGGATGTGCACACTGGAACAATGCATCTGGGGTAGAGATTGTCTCAAGACACATCGCCATAATGAATTATTATTTCGTTGGCTGTTTCATTGAGCATGGAGACTACCTGATGGATTAATCCCAATAGGCATGGAACCATTCTATAACGCAGCAACATAAAATCGAACTAGGATATAATTGTTTAAGATTCTCACCTGTGTATTGATAATGTGTTTACAAAACAATGGTTATCAGTAGTGTAATATGTTCCACCTGTAAGCAATCTGGTCTGGGTTGCACAGGTGTTTAAAGAGCTCAACTCCATTGGAAGGGTTGCAGATGAAATCCAGGCCAGGTGTTGACTTAGCCCATCGTCCTCTCCGAAGTCGACTGATCACGGCCAGGGAAATGAGTGCCTACCATTGCTGGTTTTAGCAGAGCCACTTTATTGTTTTGTACAAGACAAAGCACAGGCATATTATAATAATATTATAATATGGAGTGGGTGTGCAGTGGTTAACTTACTGCACAGTGAGCCTGGCCACTAGAGTTCAATTCCTGCCCACTACTATAACATCAGTGGCCAAGATCAGTAAAATCTCATCGAGTCATTGTGCCAGGGACAGTATCAGGGGTGGGAGCACTGGGCTGAGCCCTGCACCATCAAATGTCCCTTTGGTCCCCCACGCAAGTTCACTCCCCGTAGCAGTGGATCACTATCATAGTGCCCCGCACACAACAATTCGACAGGGCTACCCATCCGAGAGAAAGCTGAAGCCGAGGCCCTGCCTGGGCCTCCCGTTTGACCACGCCACACTCACCAGCGTGGTACAATACGGTCAAACAACCATCATGACCAGAATGGCATGGGGCTGCCTTCGTCCAGCAGTAGATTACTAGTTATTTCAGTAAACGTAAAACATTTTACGGAGACCGGTTCTGCCCTGGTCTTACCGAGGTCAGCCCTGTGATTTGGTAGCATAAAGAGTGGCAATCTTCCAGTACAGCTTCTCCTGCAAGCTGTTCAAATTCCTCCATGAGACTCCATTCCACTGCAACAGAGACGATCAGAGAGAACAAATCAATACATACGATATTTTCTACAAATGACAACGATGATGACGATGATGATGATGAAACAATTTACAAGCACACAGTTCAGTTTCTAGAATTTTTTTTTACGAAATCCTGCACAAGCAATGTTTGCAGGGATTTACAGGACTTCAGGAATTTCTGCATTTGGCATAGAGAGCATGCATTATCTGTAAACCATCTATGATTCTTAACTCTTTGGGCTGTTAAGCTATGTCAGAAATAACAAAGCACCGTGTAAACAGTCATGAATGAAGGGTTGTAAAGGGCAAATTATTGTTAAACTGTTTGCCATGTCAGAGGTCAATTCTGGCCTATAATACCTGTTGCATAACACAGCCCTTGACTTGAAAAATCGATTTCTTTCAAGCAGATTACCGAAAATGGGTTTCATTCATTTTTAAAACGACTTTTTTTTAAGCAAGTGTACTTGTTTAAAATCTGCATGAAATTAATTGCGAAATTACACAGATAATTTCACTGTAAGAAAGGGCATAACGATGGAAATTTCCCCCACTCACATTTCGCATTTTCTTCATTTCCGAGAATCCGAATTTTGGTTATCATAATTGGGGGAGCCGTCAGAAACAGCGATAACAATGCGAGGATGACGACGCATTAAACCTCAGAGGCTGCCCTACCGCATTGACATCATCAGGTTGGTGAGACATGTGTGGGTGGCATGGGCTCAATGTGAAATTCATTGAAGTTGCGTTAGCAGTTATCGCCTTTGACACAAGAACGTAACATAAACAGAGCAAATGCAAAGCAATTTGCGTGAGACAGATCAAACGCAGCGGTTCGTGCCATGGGCTAACATCGCCGGCAAGTGATGTCTGAACTTGTCCTGGACCAGCCCTCCTTACACCAAACCTTCACTGACCAGCATGGTGAAGTATGATCAAGCGATCCAACATGACCCCTGCGGTGTGGGAGAGACATTCAAGCAGCAGTGGAATGATATTCTGTGCATTCTCATGCTGTGCTCATTGGATGCTTTCATAATGCAATGGGTTAGCACGCTGGCCTTATAATCCCGAGGTCGTTGAAACAATGGGTCAGTTTATTAATTAGGCAGCTCGCACGCGGTGGAAGCAAACCGCGGTCAATCCCATTTCTTCCAAGCCGTCTGGCTGGCATGGCAGAGTAGTCCAACGCACCCTTCTCTCGAGCGGCCCCTCTTAGCGGAGGCCTCTCGCGCCGATCGCAAGGGCTGCACCATTTAACCGTCGGCTCATTTTGACGGTGGGGGTGGTGGGGGGAGGAGGGATGGGTGTGGACGGACGTTGTGCACCGGGAGAGAGCGAGCGAGCGTTACCGCGGTAACGCGTGACGACCGCCGAGTTGACGCTGTGCGGCTCCTGGAAAGTGACGGCGAGGCTGTCGGCCCCCGTGACTGACAGACACACCTGGGCTGGCGCCTCGGGGACTGCTGCTCCGCACACAAAGACAAAGATCCCACCCACCCCCAAAATCGTGTAGTCTTCAACACACTGTTGGGGGCAAGTGCTGTCAGCGCGTGAGCTCCCATGAAGACCGGCGCGACGCACGGCAGGGTGGGTGGCCAGCATCGACGACGCCCGACCGCGTTTTTCTCCCCAATACTGACGGTTATTGCGCACCGCACACGGATTACTCATTTAATGCTGAGTTGACCTAGGGGAGGCCCAGAACCGGTTCAGACATTCGTCACCGATGTTGGCCCATTAGCGGGAATCAAAGTCGGGATTCCAGGTTCGCAGGGCAGCGCGCTCACCTCTACACTAACCGCTCCCATGGGCATGGACACATGCACACCGTACATACACAGACAAAGATCCCCGGTATAGCCACAACACACTGTCGGGGCAAGTGTTGTAAATGAGCGTCTAATAAGGTTGCCATGATTCTGGAAGGGGTTAACAGTGGACTCAGTACCATGTCTCATTCCCCGCCAGCTTGGTCCTCGCTAAAGCCAATGTTATCCACACCGCAACAAAGCTTGAGCCAACAAGATGCACGGTTTGTCGGCATGGAACCATGTGCCCTCATCTGTGACCCCCAACACCTGACCGAATTGCCACGATTTGGGGTTGCGATTTAACCCAAGAATCATGTTCATTTGTCGATTTCTCTCCGTCTCCTTTGTTTAGTTTAATTTTTTTCTTCCATATCATCCATCCACTCCACCAGGCAAAAATGTGCATACGCGTTGAATAATTGATTCTCACAAGACAATTCAATGCGGGTACCACGAGTGTATGATTAAACGTCAATCAATTAAACTGCACGAACGACACGGTCCTATTCATTGCCGTAGCTAGTGGTTTAGCCTGGGTAGCTGCAATCAAAGCACAATACACTGGCAGCCAATGGCTCACTCTGTTGGGACTGCCATTTCAATGCATTCTTTATTCCAAAATTGAAAACACAACTGCAGGCAATGCTATAGCGTTCGGGTGGTTCATGCTTTGTCCTGTACAGAAACGAGCTGTCCCATCGGAACGGACTTTTTTTTCCAGTACAGCTCTCCGATGTGTTTGCGGGTCGTACCGCGTGCCGGGGGAGCTTGTGATTTGTTTCCTGAAGAAGTTGTCAGCACGTTGAGCAAAACGTCGGATATCATGTCGAACAACCCGGAAACACATCGGAGAGGTACAATGTGGCACACAAAAACAAAGGTGCCCCCTATAGCCCGAACAGACTCTTGGGGCAAGTGCTGTTAGCGAGCGCCTATGAAGGCCGGCACGGCACACGAAGGGGTGGGTGGCCAGCACCACGCCCGGCCGCCTTTGTCTCCCCAGTGGCGATGTTTACGCATCAGGTACTCATTTGAGGCTAAGTTGACCTAGGGCAGGTCCAGGACCGGCTCAGATAATTGTCACTGGTGCTGGTGGCCGTGAGCAGGAATCGAACTTGGGTCGCCGGGTTCGTAGTCCAGTGCGCGAACCGCTTCACTACCACTCCCCAAAATGTGACACACACACACACACGCTCGCACGCACACACTCAAGAGCCGAGAGGGTTAAGGCTTGCTGTGCACTATAGTTGGAGTGTTGCATGCATCAGTCACCACCTGCCGAGTCAGGGCACAGCAGGGTCTTGCACGCGAGGCAATCAGGCGGCGTTGGAAACCACATGTGAAAACGTTGTCTCCGCTGCCGCGACCTTGCCAAGGATAGAGAGTTGGGAAGCTACGTGCCTATTCGGCATGGGTACAAGCGACGCACCGCAAGGGCTTAACTCACGGAGGTGAACCATGAATCTACATAACGGAAACGATGTTCTGCCGCTCAGTGAAGTCTGATCAGGGTCCTGGGAAATGTGACAAAGCCGTTTACTTTTTTGCATTAAATATTCGTTCAGCTTTCAATTTTAAGACTAACAAAACATAAAAAATAAATATATAATGGAGATTTGTTTAAGAACATTGTTTGTTTGTGAAAAGCCAGGGGATGTGATGCTGAATGTGAATGAATGCAGACAGCCCTGTGTCCTGTAAAATGCGTATATATTGCTGCGAAGCTGACATAATTTTCATTGACGTAACACACAACTTGATATGGCAATTTTCATAATTGATGGTGAGAGCAATATCACCTCCATAGCAATGCACAATGTCATTGCAAGATATGCAATCAATGAGGGATATGTTTGTGAATGCGTGTTCCATTATAAAGTGTCAAATGCAATGTTTGGGCCAATGTATGAGAACAAAAGTGAGTGTATGGGAATAAGGGGATACCATTTTAACACGCAGCCTTTCATTACCAATAGTGGCATTGTGTAAATTCTTAATTATTAAGGAAATAAAACGTTTATAATACTCATGGATGAGTCATTATTCACATAGTTACTGCATTTAAAATGTTGTATTTGTGTGTGCTTTTAGAGTATTTAAGTAAATTGTTGTGATAGCTTAACACGTAGGCTGTCGCTTCCAATATTATCCATAATAGAGGCGTTTGGGTTAAATCGCGTAAATGTTTCATTAAACCTACAGAAACAGGAGGAGAATTTCTCCACAACTCTGGCTGTCGCCTGATGATGCTTGTTCTAACTACTGGCGAAACGTCGTACTCGAATTGTAAATGTTGTGGGTTTATACTCTCCAACACACCGATGTGCTGTACTAGTAGTGAATTGGCATGTTTTGTTTACGTAACAAACCTCAATATTTGGCTGTGACAGATGGTGGCAGGTTTAAAGACACATTATATTCATGCGATCTAGATTTTTGTGACAGTTTTGATTTGATATGTAAAAGCGGTTTGTTTTATCAGGGATTAAAATGGTTGAACAGGATACGTTGAGACAAAGATTATCAGCAAATATTCATCTAGTGAAGAGCATCTTCTTTGGTTCTTTCGGTAAAGTCACGTAGAATGAGAATAAAATAATAAATTGATAAAATAAAATAACACAATAATATTCTCACGACGTTTCGGCCACAACACAAGCGGCCTTCATCAGGTGAAGGGGACGAGACTGTCTGGAGGACAGCGCTGGAGTGAGAAAGCCACGCTGAGATCACGACCTTTAAGCTGTGTGAGAAGAAACAAAGCGCCTTGACAAAGGAATTAGCATAGAATTTAGCATTGAAATGGCTGAGTGATTAGCTTGTGACTGGTCACAGAAAAGGCTATGTTAAAGTTAAAGCATACACATCCGCAAAGGCACCCCTTGACAAAGGAATTATCATATAATTTAGCATTGAAATAGCTAAGTTAAAGTACACACATCCGCAGAGGCACTCCTTGACAAAGGAATTAGCATAGAATTTACCATTGAAATAGCTGAGTGATTAGCTTGTAACTGGTCACTGAAATAGCTATGTTAAAGTCAGAGCATATACATTCACCGAGGCACCTAGTACAAATCAAACAGGAGAATTTAGCATTGAAATAACTAGGCGAATTTAGCATTGAAATAACTGAGTGATTAGCTTGTGACTGGTCACAGAAATGGCTATGTTGAAGTTAAGGCCTACACATCTGAGCTATTCACAGTAACTGGGTATACAATACAATATATAATGAATACTATATAGTGAACCAATAAAAATACTAAAATATAAATTACCTCAATGTTATTCTTAGTTTTTTCGGTAAAGTCACGTTGAAGAGAAACAACAAAATAACAAAATATATATAAAACAAAAAAAAATTCTCACGACGTTTCGACCATAACTCAAACACCTGATGATGACCGTTTGAGTTATGGTCGAAACGTCGTGAGAATTTTTTATTGTTTTATATATATTGTTATTTTGTTGTTTCTCTTCAACGTGACTTTACCGAAAAAACTAAGAATATGAATTACTGCAGTCACGAAAGCTTTAAATCAAAATTTACCTCAATGTTATCAATAAACTCTATATTCTCCAATCAGCTAAGCTACCAACAATAAGTCGTTATATGTGATATATTGTATACCCAGTTACAATAAGTCGTTATATGTGATATATAAAGACTTATTGTTGGTAGCTTAGCTGATTGGAGAATATAGAGTTTATTGATAACATTGAGGCAATTTATATTTTAGTATTTTTTATTGGTTCACTATATAGTATTCATTATATATTGTATTGTATACCCAGTTACTGTGAATAGCTCAGATGTGTAGGCCTTAACTTCAACATAGCCATTTCTGTGACCAGTCACAAGCTAATCACTCAGTTATTTCAATGCTAAATTCGCCTAGTTATTTCAATGCTAAATTCTCCTGTTTGATTTGTACTAGGTGCCTCGGTGAATGTATATGCTCTGACTTTAACATAGCTATTTCTGTGACCAGTTACAAGCTAATCACTCAGCTATTTCAATGCTAAATTCTATGCTAATTCCTTTGTCAAGGAGTGCCTCTGCGGATGTGTATACTTTAACTTAGCTATTTCAATGCTAAATTTTATGATAATTCCTTTGTTAAGGGGTGCCTTTGCGGATGTGTATGCTTTAACTTTAACATAGCCTTTTCTGTGACCAGTCACAAGCTAATCACTCAGCCATTTCAATGCTAAATTCTATGCTAATTCCTTTGTCAAGGCGCTTTGTTTCTTCTCACACAGCTTAAAGGTCGTGATCTAAGCGTGGCTTTCTCACTCCAGCGCTGTCCTCCAGACAGTCTCGTCCCCTTCACCTGATGAAGGCCGCTTGTGTTGTGGCCGAAACGTCGTGAGAATATTATTGTGTTATTTTATTTTATCAATTTATTATTTTATTCTCATTCTACGTGACTTTACCGAAAGAACCAAAGAAGATTAATCCTTGCAGTCACGAAAGCTTTAAATCGAAATTTAGTGAAGAGCACACATAAATAAATTCATCGTCAGTGGCCAAGTATGGCCAGGTAGTTAACCTAAATCACAACAATTGTATTTCAGTGTCATAATCACATCAAACTCCCTAGAGTATGCTGGCGAGATGTTATCTCCCTCGCCTGGTACACATGAGGTCGTGGGTTCGAACACAACTCTGATGCCTGGGTCTGTTCCGTGACCTCCTGCCTTCGACACTTCACGTGGCCTCAAAAGTGCACCTAGTCTGGCACAAGCACCATGACGAGGTCACTGCCACTTAGTAGCAAACGGCCGCTGTTGTCATTGTTGTTGTTATTGTTGTGTGTGAGCATACATGCATGCTGAATGCCGGACACCATTCGCCGGAAAAGCCGCTGCCTCCACTCCCAGGCTCGGAGTTGCTTCTGCCACTCGGTGGCCTCGGCCGAGGCCGGCTCGCTGGCCAGCGCGGCCATCAGCTCATCCGCTCGCCGCTCGGCGTCCTCCACCAGCCCTGCCAGGTGCGCCAGCCGCTTGCCCGTGCTCGCAACTGTGCAGCAAATGGGGGACGGGGGGGGGGGAGCAGCAGGTACATTTAGTCAGACAGAGGGCCAGTTAGCCAACCGCAGGTCACAAAACAATGCTGACCGCTGCGCCAAAGCACCGTCATAGGGGAGAGTTGGCGGGTGGGGAAATGAGACGGGGTTAAGAGTAGAGTCGATGTGAAGATGGGGTAATTAAGAGGCAATTTAAGAAACACTCCATTTCAACAGGGCATCGTTCTTAAAAATAGTCTGGAGACTCAATGAGACTTTATTGGATAAATGAAGGATTATTTATTTTGAGTGATTGCAGATGTACTGGTTATTGTTACTCTTGGCTGAACATGTTCGGCCTTCATCCAGAAGGGCAATAGATTGGATGATAATAATAATATTAATATAAAATGTATTTAAGATCATTGTTACATATTGTGAAAAGTTAGTTTTGGCACAATTGTATCTTTGTATTTGTTTGCACATGTCTTGTAGAGCATTTTCATTTTCTTTATATTCTATCCACAGTTATTTCAACTGTGAAATTTGTGTAATAATATAGCATGAAGACTTCATTCAGAAATCCCGCAGCGCAGTATGCCCCACATGTCAGAGAACTGCTGCTGAAGAGATTGTCAGCAGGACTTCTGAAACATCTTTCAGGTGACCTTTTGATCTTGAAAACAGTTGGGGTCGATATTATTCACTATGCGATTGTCTTATGCATGACAGTAAAACTGATACTTTTTTATTTTAAGAGCTGAACTTGAGCAATTTGTGGAAACCCGATTTATATTTAGTCGAAACCATGAACTTGATACACTTAATAATCTAATTTATTTGCGAGTGGCTGCCCAGATTCGAACCCAAGAGGTAAGCAGTGGTGGCTGGGAAATCGGATATACAAATCACCCAGCCCATCGCCTTAGCCTTCTAACCCTTGTTTGTATCCCGTTATACATCCAATTCAACGTTTTGCTACTCCAGGCTTCCATTGCTTAATTGACTTACTGTCTAGGGCTCTCACCTGGCCAAAAGCCAGATGATGGGCTGCTGGCTGCGTTGACGTCAGTGTATATTTATGAAATGTATTACATTCACAGTTGGGTGAGCACATGTGACAGTGAGATCTGCTACACGGTCACCAGCTGCGATTGTAAACTCATTGGAAATAGTTGTTAATATCTACCTGGGTCCTTGCCCAAGATCCACCATTTAGCATCTGATGCTTCGGAATGCGGAAGATAGTATGCGTGCCACTGCGCTTCCATTAGCAGACGTTTCAGCATTTGCCGAGGATAATTGTAACTTTATATAGCTAAGCAGAAAATGCCTGTGCAAAAGTGAAGCATTTCAGTTTTTATATCACAGCAACATAAGTTTAAAATAATTCCACGTGTATAAAACAGGCTTTGGGCAACTGTGCCCTGGCTATATAATGTAGGGTTGAGCAGTGACCCTGATAATTAGTACCCTACACTTTGAACTCAGCATATTAAGTATTTGACTGCTACTATACATTTCCACGTGATAAGCCACTTCGTTGAGCTATCATTTGTGGCGGCCATGTTGCTTTTGAAATAGAGCTACACAGCTCAGTGGGCCTTACCTGGTAAAATAAAAAGTAGTTGAGGAGTTTTAAGTTTTAGCTAACGCCAGTGTTCGAGCGATATCCAAACTGGTTCCCAACCTCCGCCACAATTCCTCCCAGAATCAACGTCTACCAACTCAAACTGACCAACACGGTGAAGTTACGGTCCACGGCGTAAGGGGAGGCCTTCATTCAACAGTGTATTTATAAACGTCTTTAATATTATTTAGAAACGGGACTCCTTTCATTGCAGGCATGCACCACCACCTTATATATATAAAAAGGGAAAATAACAACTAACGATGATTCAGACGTCTGGGTATTCCTCATTCAAAAAAGGGCCACAGTGTGAAAAGATGAAAATAAACGTTCCCATCTCTGGAGTGATTCAAAACAAAACAGAGGATGGTATAGGTTCATAAAAGCATCGTACAGAATTGGAGAGACATCAGAAACACAACAAATATTCCAAGCGAATGTGGTAAGCGTGGAGGAATAGATTAAAAAAAAAACCTATTCTCTCTAGAGTTCCCTCCCACGGAGGCCCTTCCACCAAGTGCATGCGGTCTGAGGAAGCAATTTCCAGGGCTGCACCTTTTTTTTAAGCGTTAACCAGCGAAGGGTATCTGAAGTGTTTCGCGTGCGAGGCCACTTTGCTCTGAAACGTCACGAGGCAGCAAGGAAATGCTGGCATGGCTGCGCACCAAGGGTTGCCCAGTCGTACAGCAGCGTGGGTTAATTGTATTTGACAGCGTGGACGTTGCTACTTCGTTTAGTGTGCAAGTGCTGAAGACTTGTACAGTACCCAAGTTATTCCAGGCACGGGAGGAGAATCAAATGGGGTGTAAGCACACAGCCCTTTAAACCCACGTTGAGTTCGTTCGCATTATCGTAACGAAAGACATTATTTTTTAGGAGACAAATTGTTTTTTTTTTACAGTTAACAAAACACAGAATGTGCCGTTATAGACGTCGCTCACTTGATGGAGTAACGGTAAAACGGTGTTAACCTACGAGTGAACTTGTGACTGATTGTTTTCTCAACTGCTTAATTAAGTGCTGAAATCAAGCTAATTTGTGAAATTAAACCCGTGCAAAGTGATGGTACGTAGGGAAGATACATTAATAAATTGTCACAAAAACTTAAAAATCAACAGCAACTAAGTGGGAACACTGGCTCACTAATTAAACTGTACAACCGATGACAGATTCGAAACGAATTATCACAGCTCACAATAATCTCACATCGTGCTGCACTCACCACTGGAAGGTAGCCGGGAACAATGCATGCTTGTTTAGAACAGAATATAAGTCAAACATTTTTATACCGGGTGCAAGGCTGCACCCGGTATATTGTGAGGTGTATCATCTATGAGCTGGTGGGGGAACTAGAAGGTATCCCTGCATGGCAATTATTCGGTGCGCTTGAAATTTGTTCATTGTTAAAATAAGGTTCTTATCTTAAACGCCATGATATGGTCAGGACAGCCCTGGTTTTGCAGAGCATTTGGAGAATTTTTTTTTTCAGATTTAAAATAGGTGGGGTTACCTGACAATAGGGCGGTGGTTGTCAGGGGGGTAGGAGGGTGCCTATGAGCTGCAGGTGGGGTCACCTAGCCTGGTACAAGTGCCATTGTGACATCACCGCCACTTAGTGGCGAATGGCTGTTGTTCTTGTTGAGGTCAATGTCAGAGAGAGGCGGAGGGGGGGCACTCTCTGGGTGGGCAGGGGTAGTTATTGAGTGGGCGAGGCCATGTGAAAGTTGGTGTGGCTGAGGTTGGCAAGGGGCGGGCCAGCACAGATACCTGCTGTGGCACCCAGGGAATTGAATTGGGTAGTTTTATGATAATCAACACGTATTGCGCGTGACACCTCGCAATGATGAGCGCCAACATCACACATCCAGGGGTGTAACAATGAATCATCAGCACCCTGCCAGGATAGACGAATTGTCATAATTCAATACACCAATTTACTGATGAAAATGCATGCTTCCGCTAACAATACATGCATTCAATCACGTGCGCATAAATCGATGTTTTTCAATATTCTTTGCACATAATGGGCTTACATCGATCATCTAGCCACGAGAGTCTGCTAGATTCGCCATCATTATGAAGTAAAACAAAAAATTAAATTCCTGGAATAACATTGTGAGACTGAATTTATACTCTTTGGTTCTTTCGGAAGAGTCACGTTGGTAGAAAATAAAATAAATCACGACGTTCTGGGCGCAACACAAGCGTCCGTCATCAGGTGGGAAAGCATGGTCTGATGACGGACGCTTGTGTTGCCCCCGAAACGTCGTGATGTATTTTATTTTATACCTACGTGACTTTACCGAAAGAACCAAAGAGTATGGATTCCTGCGGTCACGAAAGCTTCAAATCAAGATGATGACAATTTAGTGAAATCGCAAGGCGGTTGAATTGTTATGCCACTTGCAACCCCAGCACTGTAATTTTCTTTAAACGCTTTCCGACACAGTCGAGCTGCGGGATATTTACACGACCGCGACTGTTGAACTCCGACGCGCGACAGTTGTGTGCTTAGCGAGTGCGTGTCACACCGCCGAGTCGGCTTGCACGCGTTAACAGCGACACGATTTTCACTAATGTTGCCCACACGACCTCTGACTCCGATCGTCGGCCAGGCGCAAGGACACGTGCGCACTGCCCTCGTACCTCGGTGAGAACACGCGTAAGCGCCCATTCATACGAAACACAAGTCACGTAAAATGCAGGCGCAATAACGCAAAGACGGGCCATAGACTATACGGCATTTCAATAAGAATAATAATGTAGATTCATAAGGCGCCCTTAAACAATTTACATCGGTTTAAAACGTAGGCATTCTCACGGCCAATATTATCCATAATAGTGTTTTTTTGGGTTAGATCGTGTAAATATAAAAGCATCGTTAAGCCCGCAACCACCCGACACAGCCAATTAGTAAGGTTTGTCACGTAAACAGAACATGCCAATTTGTTACGAGTACAGCACACTGGTGTGTTATGGAGAAATCAGGAGGATTTCAGAGTCCCGTGTGTGTAAAGGAGGGAAATAGGCGAAGCAATAGGGTGAGAGAAGGCCTACGGGAGACAAGATAGGAAACTAGACAGAAAGAGGAACAGGGTGGGGGGTCTTCAATGACCGATAATTCCAAACCTCCAAGGGCAGCGAGTTTCGCGATGCGTTGTAATCAACGGTCATCCACTGCCAGACCACAGCAACAGTCCACCGACAGCGCCTGCCTGCCCGTGGCCCGATTTCATCCGTCTCCCGTGTCGGGGCGTACTCTTGGACACTTCGCATTCCTCTGCTGCCAATCCGTAACTATTCTGGACCATCTTTTTTTGCATTTAGAAGTAAGTGCTTTGGCTAAATTCCGTGCGCACGTTTGTATCTTGAATGCCCCGAGGTTATTTTTTTTGTCCTCCCAGTACACCATTTATTAAGTCGTTTACTTGTCAGATATAGCTGCACGCAATGATAATAATAATAATACACCTTTGGAATGCCGACGTGCGGTGCTGGCTGAGCATTCAAAGCAGATATCACTATGACATTGGCAGCATTAAACATATATATCTGGCATGGTCTTTCACGCAGACGTAAGCACGCAGCTAAATGTTGAGTTACGAAAAAAAACGACGAAAGAACACATTTGAGCAAATTATGCGAGGGCCCTTAGGGTCCTTCTGTAAATGACATTGTACTGGAACACCTTTGACCTGATGTTTAAATTCACACCAACATAAAGTCAAACGAGTGAGCCGCTTAGTAATCATATGAGTACACACGATCAACACCTTCTCATTGTTACTACACGTCAATGTATGCCTCGGGCATAACATCGGCATTGCATCCCACCAATAATTGTAAGTAATTTTAAACAAACCTGTCGTATGAATACAGAAGCTCTGAAACGCACCGGCATATTCCACGTGCATGAAATACTGAATGAAGGCTACTTTCTTGCAGAATTGGTGGCCGAATCACAGGCACGAGATGAACGCACGATTAGGCAAATTGCGCAAGGTGATTTAAATATCCCTTCGGTTGCTCTGTGGAATATCGCCAAATGCACACGATGTGTAGGTATAGTGTTATATGGTAAGGCCTCGATATTCGCGAGGGTTATGTTCTTGAAAATCACGCCACTGCTGGCGTCCACTAGAGGACGCTGCAGAGAGGTCCTCTATGTCATCTTCGGCCTACTCTCCATGCTGACCAGATGTCTCGGAAGAGGTGGGCATACCCATACTGATCTACTCGGGTGTACACATTTATACCTCTTGGAGGACAGGGACCCGGCAGATTGATTATTTTTTTAACTATCAGGCCGAATTGCAAGTCTAGTATGCTAACCATTGCAGCACGGCAGCATTACAACAGAATAAAGCAGTAAAAAAAAAACAATCGACACGTTGCCTGATTCATCATCAGTGAGTTTAACAGGTAGGCTTTTCCGACCAATATCATTCATAATAGAGGTTTTTGGGTTCGATCGCACAAATGTAAATGTGTCGTTAAACCTGCCAACACCCGACAGCCAATTTGTAAGGTTTGTCACGTAGACAGAACATGCCAATTCGTTACCTGTACAGCACACCGGTGTGTTGGAGAGCAAATCCACAACATTTACAAGGTTTCACCAGTAATTACAACTAGCATCATCTGGCAAACGACCAGGTTTCGTTTTGAGTTGTGTATGAACGTGCATGAACATTGGGCCCGTGGGCTAGCAGGAGGCATAACTCACACTCGGGGCTCTCGTGAGCTCCGGCCGTCAGCAGCATGCGGGCGATGGGCACGTTGTTGGTCATGACCGCGACGTCGAGAGGCGTGAGGCCGTCGCTGTTGGGCGAGCTGAGGTCAAGCTCCTCAGCCGAATGGCGGGACAGCAGGCCCTGCACTGTGTCCATGTCCTGATGCTCCACCGCCTCAAACATCGCCTCGACGCACGTCAAGCCCTGCGACCCCCAGTGCACAGACACCCCCCGCGGGAATTTTAGAAAACACGTGCAGGTGTGCGATGCGCCCAAAATGATATTGGCTTATGGCAGCCGCAACGTATAACGTGTGAGAACCATTCGACTCTAGCAACAGACGTGAATTGATTTGTTTGTGCCACCGAATGTTTGTTAAACTTTCTGCACGACTTTTTCACCGTTGCATCGTTAAGGAGCAGCACAATGTGTGTGAAACATCTTGACGAATGGCGAGCATTAGTTGTAGCCTTGAGTTGATGTTTCGTGAAATGCTGAGTGATCATTTATCACCATTTTGTTGGTACATCTTCCAGGGGTCCCATAACACAGAGATGGTCTCCACTTATATTTCACGATAGCAGTGCACAGCTGGTCCACGAGCCATTGACCCAAACATTGATTATTCATACCACAAAGGGTGGCAAAAGCGAATTAGGATTTTGTCGAACAATATTATCATGAGATCAAAAATATGGATGACAGCAAGGTAACTATGATAGCATTAATGAGAAAAGGTCATTCAAGAAAAGTATTGTCGTATTATTGATGGCGAATATCCTTTTGGAGAGGAAAATAAAATATCATTTGAAACATGTAGGCAACGTAAAAATAAATAGAAAATTGTACGTACATAAAACTGAAATTATATACGCTAACCTTGGCGGAGACTGTTAGCGGTGAATACTGCCCATTTGTGAATACTGGAAGCGTTTGTCATCCCAAGTGGTACAAATCACCCACCCCTCTTGGCTCATGGGCTAAGCTGGGCAAAAAACACCGGTGTTTCCAATGCCGCAGTGTTTATTGGCAGTGTTTATCAGCGAGTGAATTTCACCAAAACATGTTTTGTTTATAAACCTCGTTGAAAAAGCATTAACACGGTTTGTTTCCCCGATAGTTTATGTAAACCTTTACTTTTTTCTCATTCATTTCCATGTGCCACCACATTTCAAAGTGTGCTTGCCTTGCATGGATCAAATACAACATCTATTTCCTCTCTTCACTTTGAAGGTCATTTGTCAAAAAACATTGATGCCATTACACTGAAACTATACTCTTTGGTTCTATTCGGTAAAGTCACGTAGGTAAAAAAATAAAATAACAAAAATCACGACGTTTCGGCCACAACACAAGTGGCCTTCATCAGGTGAAGGGACCGTGCTGTCATGAGGACAGCGTTGGAACTGTTTTGAGTATGTACGTTGAACTTTCTTTTGCACCATACCTAACCAACTGCGCTAATCGGAGGTGCGGGGGAAGGACAACGAACTAAACAAAAAAAGCAGTCCTAAAGAAATGAGTTTTCAATGGAGATGATTTAAAAGCGCATAGCTCCAGTGGCTTCCTAATATTGGAAGGAAGAGCGTTCCAGATGGCCGCAGAAGCGCATCTGAAAGCGCGCGATGCGTTGACCGTCTTTGCTCGATGGTTAGCCAAAGGCTGCTGCGAGGATGGCTGGAGTTTGCGTGATGGTTTACGCTCCTTGACGAGATCAGCATCATTTGTGGCAGGTACTTTGTGTGTAATGAGTGCGACCTTGTAATGTATTGTGATATCAAATCAAATTATAATTATTTTACAGTCGCAGCTGCATACATGCACACTCCTTGGTAGCAGGTAGTATGATAGGATGAGAAGTTTCCCTTTGCTTTGCTTCACTCGTGTAAAAAAACAAAATAATCGTTGTTATTGTGAGACTATAACCAACAAATAGGCAATCAGACAATACAGTGGGCTTTGCCTGGTGAAATGAGGATGGTTTAGTGTTTTATTTGTGTGTTTGGGTGATTTGATGACCTTTCTTGTACTTTGCACTACTGTCACGTGTTTATGTAACATTCTGACCCGCCCCTACTGGACATCTGTAAAAAGAGCTTCATAGCTCATCGGATTCCTCCAGTATAAATACGTATTCTGAATGTGATATATCTGCATCTCGACATAACAAAATAAAAGTATGAAACAACCGCTTGGCTCCACAGCCTTCTGGGAGTGGATCATTTCAGCAGCATTGATTCAGTGGAAGCAAACTCTGGAACGTTTTCAAAATGCAGTGTCTTTTCATCAGTCAGCCGTACTTGAACCATTGCTGGTGAATGACAATTACGCTCAGGATTACTTTGAGTGATGTATTTTAACCCAAATTCTTTCATTTTGCAACGAAGCATTCGGAACACATAAAGTGAACTGTGCATAGCAGGGCATATGATCCCTAACCAATGCCTGCACGTTTTCCAGGCGTTTGACAAATTATGTACGTGTTTTTTTTCTTAATGCCAATTTCAGAAACTGCTCTGCTTTCATCTGCGTTTAATAAGCTTTTCATTTATTTATTGGCCCTATGGGTTACCTTCAATGCATTTTATGAGATAACACACACATATGTGGGTATTGGGCCACGTGCCATTTTCACTTCATTATTTAATTTTACATTCGCAGGTCTATGTAAATAAATATAGTGCCAACAGGAAATGGGACTTCAGCATTTTATAATATTAATAATTCACAGCCCTTTGTCAATCCAAAAGTGGATAAAGGCCTCCCCATGCCATGTCAGTTATTCAACCACACATCCCCATCGTGGTCAGTGTGGTTTAATGAAGCGGTGGTGATGGCAGGATCATTTGCACCGTGTTACGCACACATAATCTGTTTAATGATTAAAAAAAGACTTTAAGCCTCTTTTATCATTCGATATCTTGATATTGGCGAAAGGGTCCCATAGTTACATCATATGTTGTTTGTAATTACCCAGGAAGGTCTTACTGAGTGTGAATATTGTTTTTCAGGAGGGCCCTGCATTGGGACATTTGGCCAGTTCCCTTTTATGAGCATGAGAGAATAATACCCAAAGTCCTGCCAGAAACCTACTTGTCATGCTGGTTCTCATGGCAATACATTGCCCTGCAGGAGGGCATCTACAGCACAGTGTGGCCTCATCTCTGCACGATCCACCTACAAGCTCGCCAGATTGCAGGTGTGCATCATAGGGCATGGGTCATGGGCAGTGGTGGCGCTCCGGCATAACCAGACCAAACAAAAAACTTTGGGCTAAAAAAGCAGCTCAAGAGGACCCGGATTCACGAACAAATCTATGCATGTATGTTGAACGTCTTTTGCACCGAATGTAGCCAATCGGTGCTGCACAGAGGTGCATCGAATATCACCTCAAATTCGAATTCGAATAACATTACCAGCTATTCGCACAACAAAAGCAATTGCTATCTCTCGTCTCTATCGTGTCTGTATCGCTCCTCTCCAATTTCACCACATTTGCATGTTTGTAATCATTTATCTTTTCTCACTTACATCTCTATCTATTATCTATATCTCTTCTGTCATCTCACGAGAAGTTTATAAATGCAGAGGGACGGTTGGATGGAGGTGGTTGGCGCTAATATTTTTGCTAAGGGCCTTCACTGGGCTAGTACCGCCACTGTGCTTGGAACGACGGGGGGCGGTCCCCTTTCCCACGGACAGAGCTCAGAGCCGGTTCCCCTCGGGGCACCTACAGTGGACGGCTTGCGCTGGCGGTCTCTGTCCGCGCGCCCTCCGCCACTGCCGCCGCCTCCGCTGCTGCCGCAGGCCTCCTCGAAGGACGAGCTGCTGCTGCGGAACTTCCCCGAGAGGTTTCGGTAGAGGCGTTTGGCGGCGCTGGGCGACGAGGGGTTTCCTGGGGCCCCCATGCCGCCCGCAGCCGTCCGGCGGGAGGCGTTCGGCAAGGGGACGTCACGCAGCGGCTGCGCCATCTTTCCTGTGCAGGACCTTTGGGAGCGAGTGGATGAGGGAAGACGATGCCCAAATGGTCGGTTCATAAGCCCGCAATGGGCCAAAAATGCGTCGAATCAAGTTAAAATAAAAACTGCTCTGACAGTGTCACTCGATGAGCACATCAAGACGTAACAGAAATAAATTACGCTCTGAAGTAAAACCGCCTTATTGCGATGCTAAAATATAAAAGGTAGTAGCCCTCTAATGAATGTACGTCTTAATTTCGAATGTATTTTGGAAAATAGCGCTCTTCAAATAACATCTATCTATATATATAAAAGTCTAAAAAATTTGTTTGTGGGTTTCTGCGTGTTCGCGCGCTTGCGAAGGATTTGCCGCTCCAACCGTGGGGTTTACGTAAAAAAATAGCCAGGTACCACGCCGTAAGCCCCGTGGTTAGCAAGCGCTATTCCTTTTTCACATCCGTCAACTTTAAATTAGTTTAATTAACGATTGAGTGCGATTTGTGTGCTTTATTTTTATTTATTTTTATTTATGATGCGTGCACGACCATGCCATCTCACCCGCCTTCGGTGGAGGGGACGGCTCATGCCAAGTCGCACGCCTTTGGTGGGAGTGAGGGGGACATTTTCTTTCGCGTTAAAAATGCACAAAATACACTAAACGCTGACGTTAATTCTTCACCTTGTGATGTCCCCCCCACCCCCATGCGTGCTGTTATTACTATTATACAGTCGGTAGATGCTACCACTATAGGCCGTAGCTATTACTGCAGAGCGGCCGGGGAGATCGTGGCTGGGGGAGGGTCAGGGGTAGCAGCCCAGCCTCAGCCTGCCAAGGTGCCACCTCGGCCGGCTGGACAAACTAGGCGAGGCCAGAGGCTCTGCACGGTACTAGGCCTCACCACGGCACTCTGTCAGGTGAGTACTTTGTGCTATAGAGTCGATAAATACTACTATAGAGTCAGCATGCACTACTCTAGTGATAGCAGGTACCACCGCAGTCCGTATGCACTTCTGTAATCATAGCAGGTACTACCACAGTCAGTATGCACTGCTGTAATCATACCAGGTACCACCACAGTATGCACGGCTGTAATCATACCAGGTACCACCACAGTATGCACGGCTGTAATCATACCAGGTACCACCACAGTATGCACGGCTGTAATCATAGCAGGTACCACCACAGTATGCACTGCTGTAATCATAGCTGGTACCACCACAGTATGCACTGCTGTAATCATAGCAGGTTACCACCACAGTCAGTCTGCACTGCTGTTAGATTTTTAAGAGTAGTTTTGAAAAAAGAAAAATTGACCCGGGCAACGCCGGGTATATAAGCGAGTGATGGAACAAAGTAAATCGAATATACAGCCTGTCTTTTATTTTCAGCTGAACTTTCTCTCCACGGCCAACAGAGGTGCAGCCCTCAGTGCACCGCTGAACGCTGTCAGCACCAGGCCATGCAGCCCGTGGAGGTTGTTTTGACCTCACTTGAACCACGCTCGTCAGTGCAGGTTGCTGATACGTGTGGAGCATAGATGTGGAACCATATAAGGTAGTGTACCGTATAACACTGGACTCTTTACGCACTGCTTTCTGGTCCACAGCCTGTTGCGCACGAATGGTGCTCGCCCATCTCAGCACTGTGCAGGACGAACTATACTTAGCTTCTGAGATCTAACAAGATCCGGTGCATTCGGGGTGACTTGTTCAGAGGCCAATAATGGGAGTTAAATGAAAAATAACAAAATTGTTACATTTTGTTTTATGTATACAGAATAATAATTGCCATATATTATTTGTAAATATTTATATACATGGAAATATGGCAAGGTGCCAAAACATCACTTGAAAAATATAATCACAAAGAGACAGAAATACATAAAGCACATCCAAATTAACATGACAATGATTTGCCAGCTGCCAGGTTGATGCTGCGTATGTTTGTGAGAGATTGCTTAGGCATTACGTGCTTTTTTAAAATTCCAACCATGGCAGTGCAATATTTCCAATAAGCTCAACTTTGACAGTCTGCTGTGCTTTTGCGGATGCAAATAGTTGTTGAGAGGAGAAAGCAGACATCATTGGGCTATTTAATTTCGACGATTGTCAGGCAGATTGACAATCGACGAAACTGTACGCTGGGGCTTTTTAAACAGCAGAGATGGAGAGAACGATACTCGGATGTGTCACGAGCAATTACTTGAAAATCCTGATGGGTGACGGGGGGGGATGCGGCGTCGAACAAATGAGACCATCGCTGCGCCGCGATGATGTGCCACCACATTTGGCAGTGCCAACGATTTCTACGGAATGACGGATCACGTCGCGCCATCGTCCAAGTGGAACGGGAGATCCTGCAACGGCGGCTGGATGATCTTGGGGATCCGTGACGCTTTCGCCGCTTTATTCTCTTCCATTCATTCATGTACGTGAAGTAAATCATCCCTGACAGGAAGCTAGCATAATATGTCCTCTCGAAAGAAAAAAAAAGGTAAGATGGCGCATCATTGTCGGGAATTATTGAGCGTCATTATTCATTTGACTCTCATGCTGTGCATCTGCGTCTGGAACAAGACAGGCCTTCGCTTAAGAAAAAAACGTTTTGGCTCGATTTTCTCCATGCGTTGCTGATAAACGATTTGATGAGGTTGATTCCCAGAAACAGGCTATAGGAGAAATGCAGGCTGCCTTACGAATTAATTTCTGCTCATGATCAAATACACTAAAGGCACAATGTAAACGTTAAACTGCTCACTTTGCCTCCACGCCTCTATTGTAAAAGGGGGGGGGGGAGGGGGGGGGGGTGGGGGGTGGGCCAACAAGGCTACACATGACCTGTACCGCATGTTTGTCAATCGACTCCTCGCTGTTGGACCTCCTCGCTAGCTGTGCGGGCAGTGAGGGTGTTCTGACCATACTTCACTTTGCCCGTCACTATGGGTTGGATAACAATGGATGTTGCTGCACTGTCCTCTACTGTCCCTAATGCCTACTGCACCTGCGTTGGGGGGACACGGTGGCTGTTAACGACCTCGCCTGGTATACAGGAGGTCATGGGTTTGATCCTGACCCTGACAGCTGTATATTTGGAGAATTCATGTCCACTCTCCCCGTGGTCACATGGATTTTTCTCCAGGTTCTCCAGTTTTACCAGAGGACCTGGTTAAGCTTTAGCAAAATTCCATATATTGAGTTCCCGCATAACGAAACCAAACTCCAAACAGCTAACTTAATACCAATGCCCAGATAATTATAGCTGTTCGGCAAGATTGGGGGGTAAAATATTTTCAAAGTGTGTTTCAAATAAATAAAAACCCATTAATGTTATGCTGTGTACAATGTGATTAGTGCATGTCCAATAGAATGTCAAGAACATTGATATAATCTCACGTCCTCGTGTATTAGATTGTATGCGCATTTGTGTATCTCTTTGTAGTCAGTCAAAGCTAAAAATGGACTTCCTTGCCTTTAATGCACACGCTTGCCAGCGAGTTATTATTTTTTGCAAGAGTCATGTGTCATCATGAATATCAAATTCTAGTCATCACCTCCATTCACTCTATGGATGACTCATTGTGTTCCTAATCCACACGAACCGTTGGCACACTGCACTTCTAGGTTGTCACCATTTCGATCTCCCATCGCGCGACATGCTCAAACAGTGGCCAAGGTTTTCAAATTGCACTCCACCACCTCTGTCCATGCGGTCTCATGAAGGGGTCCACGCAGTGAATTGTTCAGTAGGTCGCGTGTGGTGGGGGTAATGTGTGGGTATTGCTACCGCTTCCAAGATGTCTGCGCGTCGTGAAAGAGTAGGCCAAATGCCCGCTTAGAGAGGTTCTCATGAGTTCTTCGAGTGGAGACCCTCCAGCCAGCAGTAGCAACAACACGATCGCTGAATCTTTGCCTTTTGTACACACACAGCAGACTCTCGATTATCCGCGTGCGGTTTATCCGATTTGCCGATTTATGTCAAAACCTGAGATTTTGGCTTAAATGAGTAACTCATGGATTTTCCCTAAGGCCCAAATTAATATTCTAAAAACAGTTATACATTGTCAATCTGGGAAATGTTCATTGCAAGTCACGTGCTTAAACCGAACAAATATGTGCTCCAATTAATTCGGATTCCACGTGGTCACCATGACAGTATAGTAGTTCATATCTTTACAACAGCGGGCAGAGTTTGGTTGATCAAGATTGGCGTGGCTCTGCGACCCACTTAGTGGGCGAACTTTTGTGCGCGGGAGCAGGAAAAAGTGTCATCACTGAGCACGCACATCAATCCGTCGGTCGTGAGTATTCGTTCTAAATCGAAATAGTAACAATCTAAATCATGAGTTGTGCTTCATTTTGAGTTATTTTTCTGATTATTTATTTCGTAAGCTTAAATGTATACCTATTCTAGTGTTTTTAAGGCATGGAGATTCGGGGAAAAAGGATCATTTTGGATTAGCCACGATTTTGAATTATCTGAGGCCGTCCTCCCCCGTCATTAGCGTGGGCAATCGAGAGTCTACTGCCGATTTGAAAGCGTATAATTTATATGAATGGTTCCAAACCTGAAGGATGTGGGTTTGATATTAACAGGTGCGTACAATGCCACAAATATTGCTTGCTCAATTGTCAAGTTTTGCGGCAGTTTCACATTGTTCCTGAAAAAGTTTTACAAACCCCCATTGATGTTTGTATTTTATTGTATAAACAGCAATATCTACCCCCCCACCTTTCCCATCTTTAGAAATGTGTTGTAGCCCTTCTTACTACTTTTCCCCTATATATATTTAAAACAAATTATCATTGATTTCTGAAACGTGGTACGCAGCCGTAGTGTCGGCTGCTCTGACTCACTTGAGTGTGAGCGTGTGAATAAACGATTTATATTTATGTATAAACACAGATGACAACGTTCACGCGAAAAATAATAGATGCTACGAACAAACAAGAGAAAATACTGCACAATCCACGGCATGTAATGAACTCTGCCACGACCTTCAGCCCGCGACGGTGTGCACGATTTCCGTTCGGGTTCATTCATGTCACCTCATTATGATAACCTTAACCCAGAGCACTGTGTGGTCATCGTTTATATAAAACATAATCGCTATCAGCGTTATATCCGCCAGTTGAATGGACCAGCATGCATACATTATTTACTCGAGGAATATTTTACCCGCTTATCCATTCCAGTTGACGCTGAAGTTTGGCAACAATTGTACTTCTGATGCCGTCATGGGTGGCTACCCAATTCAAAATCTCCCGAGCCCGTTTTAAACAGGCGTGCGTGCAATGTTTTTATTGAATCAGTTAATCGGAATGCCGTGGCCAGTCCATGCGTCTATAAACCATGCGACACGCATGGTTTATAGAACCAAACAGATTGGGAAGAAGAATGCGGGCCAGAAACTTTCCAGCTTCTGAGGCTTTGATTCGCTTGCCCAGCCTTTGCAACCCAGCTACTGCCCACTTACATAAACCCATAAAAAAAAAATGCGTTGTCACCATGTGTACTCGGCACACCAGATGATGACCAACACACGCAGCTGATAGCGTGGGACCACGCAACCTGCGGTCCAGATGGTGGGCTCATCTGGTGGTTAGGATAGTTTTGTAGGAGAGCATGCTGTACGAAGTATGCGATTGGGAGGCCCAATGCGATACGTTTGTCACCGAAACACAAACAGAAGCCGCTCTTCCGTTCTTAAAGAATGGTTAGTGTGGCTAAAGGGGGGGGGGTGGGGTTGGGGTCACTACCGCTTAACGATTAGCGCGTTGCGCTACGAACACGGCGATCCGCGTTTGATTCCCGCTCACGGCCAACACCAGTGATAGCGATTATTTGAACTGGGCATCCGCTCGTTCGGCTCAACCTCAAAATGAGTACCTGGTGCGGTGTGTAAACATCGCCACTGGGGAGACAAAGGCGGCCGGGCGTGGTGTTGGCCACCCACCCCCTCGTGTGCCGTACAGGCCTTCATAGGTGCTCGCTAACAGCACTTGCCCCCAACAGTCTGTTACAGGCTATAGGGGGGGAATCTTTTTCTTTGGGTGGGGGGGGGTAGGTGGAAGGGGGTGGGACATAAAGTAAATGTGAACTTGTGATAATTGTGAGAAATGAGTCATGTTCAGGCTATGCGCGTCATTTGAGTCGAACGACGTGGGCCGTCGATGGCTGTGACGTCCGTCACGTCCCTTCGCGCGCGTCACTGCACGCAAACTCATTGACACGTGACTCGCAGGAGCCGCCGTCAAGAGCAGTATTTTTTGGGGACAGCTGTTTTGTGCAAGCGCGAATATTGTCGGTGACAAACCGCGTACATTGGCGTTTGATGTGTTTGCTATCTTTTATTTGAATCGATGCCGTGGACAAGGCGATGGCGAATTTAGGTCAGCCCACAATGCGTCATTCAGCGGTGAATTTAATGAAGTCCATATCATTCACACTGGCATGCATCTATCCCACTGTGCAATATTTAAGCGGCTGTATTGTACGTGGAAAAAATATATATTATGCTGCTGAAACTGCTTCGTTTTTTTATTATTTAAAAGATTATGCATTGATGCGTCAAAACTGAAAACTAAAAAAAATAACATTTCGGTGAGTGTAATTTAAAGTTGTTAATGGAACATTGTGTCGCTATGTGCTGGTATATTTTTTTGATTATTATTATACGCCTGATTAACAGGCGTCACAGAAATGTAATTTTGTACGGTGCGTGCACAAACACACACACAGGCAAACTACCACTCTTTCCTTATTGAAGGGCGCATGTAAAGATAACCAGCGTGGACTCGCTGGCAAGTCTATAGAGCAATCATCCATTGAAAGAAGCAGATTTACTGCAGCAGCACGAATGTCACGTCCTGTGGGAAACCATCCAAACAGTCATCAGTCTGGAGGACAGCTGCGGCGTTTTTTTTGTTGTTGTTGGTGGTGGTGGTGGTTGTGTTGTTGCTGCAAAATCTTCGAGCACAACGCATTTCTGTGCAGTGAAGGAGGATAAGGAGGAAGGCTGGCAGCAATTCAATGGCGTCAGTTCCTAACTCCCCATGTCCACTCCAAGCCGTTCTGAATTCTGGCATTGCCTGGCACCTACCAACAAGCCCTCCCCCATCCCTTTACACCCACCTCCCCCCTGTCATCTGCGATACCTGCCACTGATGGAGGAACTCTTGTGTGCGTGTGTGCGTGCAGTCAGCCAGCTGCGGTATTAATATGAGACTTGGCCATGTTGCTGCATTTACAAGCGGTTTTTTTTTGTCCTTTCCCTGGCTGGGTGTGAGATCTCTGTTGCACGCTCTGCATTTATTTCCGCTGTTAGCATCAGATAAAGGTATACGAGGGAGAAACGGGCCTTGGCTGTCGTGTGTGTGTGTGCGTGTATGCACGCGCATATGCTACGGGTGCATTTATTTCATTATAATGTTTGCCTACACGACATATCATTGTGCTTCTGTGCGTGTGCATATCAGCGGAGGATTATCTATGCTGCGTACACAAAGAGGTGGCAGCTGTCCACCCGCTATTATCATTTACAAAATTACGTAGTGCATGTGTCGCACATTAAAATGAGCATACCAAATATTATTTGTCAGCGCGATTAAAAAAAAAACCCATATCCGGCTCGGTACAAACGCGGCGCTGAAATAACTTCGCGCATGGCCAAAGTGTCACAACGACAATCAGCCGCAGTTACCAGGATCCATTGATGAAGACTACAGGAGGGTTAGCTCATAATTTATGTGTGTAGGTGTCACCCCTTTTGCTAATCCACGACTGGGGGTTATTGGACTATCGTTCACCCACGCTGGTCCAGTGGCAGGTTGATGAAGGAGCGAAGCTTAGACTCGGAAGCCTAACAGTATAGTAGAGTGGGGATTTTATTAGCTGCCATCTCTTGCCTATCACGCAGCCCCACAATCCTATGGGCAACCTGGTTTTGTGCGCGTGTGGTCTCCTATCCGAGCACTTTGCAGGCTCAAAGCCTGCTCAGCTTCCGAGATCTGACAAGATCGGAGACATTCCGGATAATTTGGTGACAGGCCCTTGATGTAGATAAAGTACATATCTGTGTGTAGGTGTCACATGCACAAATAATATAATGTAGTTTAGTAACGTCGTGCTCCAGCGAGTGCATACACACAATCGCTCAAACGTTGTGTCTGAATATGCAGTCTTGAGCAACCTGATTAACATAGATATGCACTTAGAATAGGGCAAGGATAACGTTGAACAAGCTTGAGATGGCCACAACAGCTTCTACACATCGGGATAAATATGTGATTTGCAATGTAAATTGTGCTCATTAGTTTACCGCTAAATTGCTTAATTAAGCATGTTACTGTCTGCACAAATGATAACCTGCAATTTCCCGAGCAGTGCCAGTTTGAAGGGGTCATGTAAATCCCTCGAAGGATTGCTTCGCACTCTCTCACACGTGTTCATTAAACAATTATGAGACACACTTCGCACTGGATGGCAATCCTCAGAAGCAATCTGAATGCCGTAACAATGCTGATGGAACACATGGTGTTACGTATCGGATAAACACATGGAACCATCCCACAAAATCTGAATCAGAATATCTATACTGGAGGTATCCGATGAGCTATAAAGCTCTTTTTCACAAATATCCAGTAGGGGTAAGTCAGAACGTTACAAATGAGTGCCCGGCACCAAATATTAAATAACGGTGGTTTCTTTCTTGCTCACTTTCCATTCTACCGCCCAATGTAGCAGATGTGGGTTTTGTGGTTTAACTCTCCACTTAGTGAGAATTCACCAACAGGGACGGCTGCGGATGCTGCTTATAGTATGCATCTCGAAAGGAATTGGCCAATCACCACAGCAGTTTCATTATGACCACAACGTTGTTTAAATTAATGACATTTTGGTTACTCAAGAGCCACTGGTTCTGTGAGATCAGCGAAGATAGGGTCGTCATTCTCTAAAGTGCCATATCACAAGTTGTTAAGATCAGAGTCTCTAAATAACAAAGACATTTACATTTCGATTTAAAGCTTTCATGACTGCAAGGATTCATCTCATTTGGTTCTTTCGGTAAAGTCACGTAGAATGAGAAGAGAGACTGTCTCCAGACAGTCTCGTCCCTTCACCTGATGAAGGCCACTTGTGTTGTGGCCGAAATGTCGTGAGAATTTTATTGTGTCATTTAATTTTATTAATTTATTATTTTATTCTCATTCTACGTGACTTTACCGAAAGAACCAAAAAAACAAATACATTATTATTCGAATTGCCACAAGCATTTATCTTGGTTTTATCATTATATAGTGTTGTGAGCACTATGTTAATGAGGGTGAGATTTTTCGGAAGCCACTGAAGCTATGCACTTCTAAATCTAGATTGAAAACTAATTTCTTTAAGAACTGCTTTTTGTGCTTAGTTTGTTGTCCTTCCCCCGCACCTCTGATAAGCATGGTTGGCTACGTATGGTGCGAAAGAAGTTTAACATACATACAGTTAGAGCGGAGCTATGACAAGACCCAGTGCAATGGGTTAGTGCAAGGCTCCATGTAATACTGTCCTGTACGTTCATACATTACGCAGGAAATAATTTCTAGGCTTCCAGAATGCCCAGGAAACATCGGTCACAGTACATCACTTCTGACAACCCACTTGTTACACTGCCATCTAAAGACACACCGATGCTGTGCCGTAGGTGTTTAGCGCGCTATGAACACAACTCCAACCCCACATCTACATTTGCTTGATCGCAGGTGCGCAAACAACAATCCACCCCAGCTCAACTATGAAAGAAATAAAACGTAAAAAATATATAAATATAGTAAACGCTGTAACCGTTTGTAGGACTGCTGTACCGATAGACGGCACGCATTGCTGGCAGCGGAGATGAAAGCGTGAGAAGTGAAGGGTTTGAGCCCGGGGAGGCAAGCCTCACCAGTCAAAGCTGACAGATCTCTGGCGATTAACCTCCGGCAACGCGAGGCGGTCACTCAGCACATTTCCCTGGCTCTGCCGCCGCTCCTTGTGGTTCAGCCGCTGGGTCAATCTCGCCAGGCCCCCCTCAAACCTGTGGGCACACACAAAGCAGACTGAGATGATCACAAAACCAGCAGCAGCAGCAGCATGAGCAGCAGCGATTCCCCCAGCGAGTGATGGTGGTGACGTCGCCGCCACTCACTGGGTAGCAGTGTCCAAGCAAGACTTGATGCTTTGTTATTCCTGCAATTGGTTGCGAAGCCCTCTTATGGAAAATCACGGGACAGACACATTTATTTTGGGTTTGTAGACTCCAGTAAATGGTGTCTACGAAGGATGGGCCCTGCATTGAGTTTGCTTGCTCTGTACGTGTGCTTCCCGATGTATCCATCACTGTGCCTCAGGCTGTCGTTGGAGGTCAGCCTCCGAAAAAACAAACAAACACGCACATACACGCACACACACGTGTTCACATGGTCACACATTCATAAGGACGCACGTAAGATAAGCCGGCAAGCACGCACGCAAGGGTGTGGTGTGGTCATCACCATGCCTGGGCTGGCTTTTGTGTCTCCAGTGCACAAGCTTATCATAACAATTTTAGGCTGATTCTAGCTAACAGAGGTTCAGGTCAAATTCTGATAGCAATTGCTACCGGTGCTGTGGATGGCAACTCACAAACCACAATCCCCATACTCCCCGTTTACATGCACGCTCCGTATAGCCACACGCAGACACTCACACAATGCAGAGGCAGCCTGTGTATAGACACACTCAGACGGGCACTTGAACAAATTGTTAGTGGCACTACAATATGAGTGGCCAAAATATGCATTTGTTACGTGTTAGTCTTATGTGGACAGCATCGGCTATTAACAGTTCATGGTCTATTTATGTTACCACTGGGTTCTATGGCTTAGAGCACCTTCCCTTGCTCATTACATATGCTCTGACATATTAACCACGTGATAAACATACATATTAATCGTTATATATAAAGGGTTTGTCTGCATAGGTGACTAGCGGTTGGAGGACGACCATTTATTCTAAAGATTTGCATTTAATTCAAGTAGACATGGACATTTATTGTAGCAATGCAGAGGTCATAACTGTGATACTATAAAAAGAGCAGTGCACTGATAAAACCTTAAAACAAAAACGAAAACACAAAGAGTAAAAATATGGTTACTTAAATTATATCCATAACAGAGATTTTTTGGGTTAAACCCGTCACCACACGACACAGCTAGTAAGTAAGGTTTGTCACTAAACAAAATATGCCAATTCGTTACAGCATATTTTGTTTACAGGACAAACCTTACTATTTGGCTGTGTCGGGTGGTGACGGGTTTAACGACACATTTCAATTGACGCAATCAAACCCAAAGAAAACCTCTATAATGGATCATATTGGTCGCGAAAGCATACGCGCTCAACTACTTTAAATTTCGAAAACAACAAATGTGTCACATGTGTACTTTGATAGTATGAATCATCAGCTGAGTCACTGTCTTATACATTAAGCATGCATATTAAAATGCCGGGCATATCAGACGCAAAAAAGTCAGCGTGTGAATGACTAATGAATGGGAATCTAAATAAAAATATGAAAAATAATGAAACATTGATTTCATTCTCGATTTGAAGCTTTCGTGACTGCAAGGATCCATACTCTTTGGTTCTATTCGGTAAAGTGACGTAGGTAAAAAATAAACAAAAATCACGACGTTTCGGCCACAACACGAGTGGCCTTCATCAGGTGAAGGGACCAACCTGTCTTCCTTCACCTGATGAAGGCCACTTGATGAAGGCCACTTGTGTTGAGGCCGAAACGTCGTGATTTTTGTTTATTTTTTACCTACGTGACTTTACCGAATAGAACCAAAGAGCATTGATTTCATGTCTATATCATCATTTTCATGTTGTACCATGAGAAAAAAAAATAAAACTCGATTTGTCACTCATACACATTTAATGGTTTTAAACTAACTGCCGCAGTAAATCTGACCTACGTTTCTCAGAGGTGTTCACATAAAATCTCATTTTTTCCTGATTATGTACGACAAAACACTGTCCATCTTTCAGATTAAAAAAAAAAGGCCGGAAAATAAAACGACCTGATTCACGTCCGGCACGGCGCACGTTCTAGACGAGCGAAAGCGTTCCTCTGCATGCAGCTCATTCTTCAAATTTACAATCTTAACATCACGCGTGACCTTCCGGCAGGGTTAATGTCGATGTCACCGCGACTCACGCCTAATGCGCACAGCACACCGGGGCATGCGAGCCGCCAGCTATTTGTGTTGGTAATGAAGCGCAGTTTCCGTTTTACCACTGCGAGTTTAAATGACAGCATTAACCGAAATAGCACTAATATCCTTCCTTGAAGAAGAAAGAAAAACCAACGGATTTTCAACTGATAGGATCTGACCCTCACTGACGTTACATCAGCGGGACAAATTAGCTTGAATGTGGCTGGCATTTGCATGGAGCTGACAAGTATACCACGTGCTTGGGAATGACAATCTTGAACCGTAAACACATTTCAGCCATTATCAACTACTGTATGCTATTTCAAGATTATTTACATTTACTCTGATCTTCTTGAGTTGACTTTCACTTGACAATGTATGTGGTGTTGAACTTCTCAGCGTACGTAGCCAACTGTGCGAATCGGAGGTGCGGGGGAAGGACAACAAACTAAACACAAAAAGCAGTTCTAAAAGAAATGAGTTTTCAATCTGGAGAATTATAAAACAAACCAACACCGGAAGTGATCAGGCTGGTTCCATGCTCGTCGTACTTCAACAATCTAAATAATCCCAACAAAATAAAACAAGCAAAACAAATTTAATATATCCTAACTTGGTTGAAAATAGGAGAGAAAAAAAAAGCTAAAATGTGTTCAAAGAAGCACGGAGAGATGCACGCTTAATTCTGTCTCTACACTGAGAGACAGAACAACAAATCAAATAGATTGGAGAACATGCGAAGGTATTATGGATGGCATTGTGTTAAAATGCGAATGTAAATTGAACAGTTAACACGTTTGAGAGAAGTGAGTGCGCTTGGGCACGAGAAGGTACGATGGCCAATGGTCAATAATATTGACGGATTGGCATCCAAGGAATACGATGTGTCTGAGTCATGCGAGGAGATGGAGCTGTGACATGAGCTCGTGTGCAGGTGTGAGGTGGGTTATTACATCGCAGGAGGTCTTCATCCAGCAGTGGACTTATCAAGGCTGATGATATTGATGATGAGCATCTTCACATTTTATATCTCACTGTACTACCAGAATGGGCAAAGCAAGTAATTATAAATATAGTAACGTTGTTGGATATAAACCCAACAGATATATCAAGATCACATTTAAGGAATACCTGGAAGTTCAACCGACATTGCCCTGTATCCCGCCAGGACGTATCTACTACTGGACTCAGTTGTGCTGACACATGAAGACAGCCATGATTGTCAGAGGCTTATATTAAAAAAAATAAAACCAGCACCGGAAGTGACCACAGGCTGGTTCCATGCAAGTTGCACTTCACCATAGCCAAATAGAGGGCAAAGCAAATGACAGGCAAAGAGAAGAAAGTTAATATCCTGAGTGTAGGTCAGGAGCTAGCTAATTTTACGAACACTGTTTCTTGATGAGATCAGCAAAATTATTAAATGGACGTCACCATTTAAACATCTGGTGGAGGAATTTTCAGGCAGATCTCTCCAGGAACCCGACCGTCTGGAGGGCATTACAGATATTATGCTGGACCATATGGTTAAACTGTGAGCATAATCTAAGAGGTTGTAATTTTCATTGTAAAAAGAAGACAATTATCAGACATCATATATATTAAGGTTTATATGAGCTTAAATCAATAGCAAAATAAATTACCAAAGCACAATTGTTCGCGTGCGCCCTTATTTATTTCAAACGTCTGTCAATATTTATATCAGAACATCTGAGATAATTCAGTAAATTCTAGCCTCTCTGGTGAACAGGTAAAGGACCACTAACACAATATGACATCAACTCTAATTCATATGAAAATAATACACACAGATGCAAAACACAAACAAAATGTAATGCTCTATTCTGTGGTGGCAAATATGATTAGTAACACCATTTCAAAGCGTGTTTGCAAAACGTGCACACGGACAAACACACCAGCACACACTGGTGTACAAAGAATGTTTGTCGCTCGCAAAGCTGAGAGATAAATGGCAAATGAATGCAGACAGCATGCAGCGAAAGCATTCAAAAATAATCATCTGCCTTCCGTGCCATCACATTGACTTGCGTCTCAATTGCATCGTGCAACATTCATAGGGAAAGAGCACAAATTGATATCACATCCACAAAAAAATAGAAGATATGTTTCCCTGAAATATTAGAATTGTTCACAAATTTTCCTCCATGTGCAAATGCCTCTGGAAGAATGAAATAAATACCGTAATATTCGTGGTATACACGCAGCGATTTTAGCTTCATCTCGAAATAGATCAAACACGTAGGCGAGTTACAGCAATGCAGAGAATGCAATTTATCAAAAACGGTCTGCGCCCCATCGCAGTGCCGGGTACGGTGCGGATGGCGAGAACCCATGGTACGGTGCGGATGGCGAGAACCCATTGGCTGCAAGAACCTGTCTGCACTGACCTTCTGTCCCTTCGAGCAATGAGCCACAGCGGCTGCCGTGTCCGTACACGCCGAGCTGACACCCATGTTCTGCGCGCCTCACTTGCCGTTGTTCGTGCTTTAATTCTCTACGCTCCTCACGCCATCAACCACACAACCGCCCTGCCCCCACCGCCGCCGCTACATTTAAAGCGGAGAGGCTGAAATGAATTCCTTCCTGAATCATAGCACTCGCGTTGCTCCGCCACAGCCTCTGCTGTGCGCCCAGGCAACTCATCTCATGACACCACGACCCAACTACCAACACGTGCGTCCTCGGGTACACCATTGTGTAGCTGATCTCATGACACCACGACCCAACTACCAACACGAGCGTCCTCGGCTACACCATTGTGTAGCTGATCTCATGACACCGCGACCCAACTACCAACACGTGCGTCCTCGGCTACACC